CCCGACATCTGTTGGCAACATTTTTCGAGGTCAACAACTCTCAAATAAGTTATTATTTTATGAAAAAATTGAGTACGAGTACAAAATTTCTCAATCCAACTTGAAAAAATATTCATTTTCGAGTCCGCTTTTATGGATGTCATTGGCTTAAATTCTTAGTTTGGAGATTTGAAGGCTAAAATTGTTTGTTAGAGACTTGTATGGTATATTTTGCAAAGTATAGGGACCGCAATGTCAAATGTCATGTCACCAACAATAACATAGAACTAAAATCACTATCACGTTTTCACTGTCCATGTGCCGTACTCTTGAAGAATCTGTCCTCGTGCATTTTGTCTATTACAGATCTGATTCTTTGTTATTGCTTCCTACCTGCTCAACAACACAGGTATATTTCTTGATGCTGTTCTTCAATGTTATTTCTATTTTCGATTATTTCAGATTCTTGATTCTTTTTTCTTACAATTTGTTTCTGTAAGTATGTGTTTGCAAAAAAATGCATCTTTCTGAAGTTTCGTTTTGGGTGTTTGATTTTAGAGGAATTTATTCAGCTTATTTACGTTGTTTACAGAATTACATTGGTTAATAGACTGATAGAAGCTAGAGATTTTTTAATCTTTACTGTTTATCTTCGCCTGAAAGTATGGCGACTATGACCCAGCTCCGGTACTCTCCACTTACCAGCCATTATCGCCATTTCACTCACACTCGTCATTTTACCAATTTCGCCCTCAGATTTGCCGATAATACTTCCCCGAGCACCATTTCCCTTTGCACTGAAACTAAACCGTTAAACTCGGATTCGACAATCAAAGGTTATATCCCCTGTGCTGGTGGTGGAGGTGGTGATATTGGTGTTGGACATGGTGATGGTAGTGGTGGATATAGCGGTAATGGGGGTTGGAATCATGGCGGAGACTCTGATGAATCCAAGTCTTCGTTGGATGGTTTCGGACCAATTGGGACTTTTGTAACTGGATGGAGATCGAGGGTTGCAGCA